ATGAGTAGATACTTTTAACCCATACAGTGCTTCCAAAGATAAAATCCTTGCTTCCAAATTCTTCAGTTGGATTGTATTAATTGTCTATTACTACATAACAAAGTATCACAAATTTGGCACTTAGCACAAACATTATTTCATAGCTGTTATGGGACAGGAATTTGGATATGAGTTAATGGGGTCCTTCACTCAGGGTCTCATCAGGCTGAAATTAAGGTATCAGCTGGGGCCTGCAATCTCAGGTAAGGCTCAGGGTACAATTCTAAGCTCAATGGTTTTCAGCAGAATTCATTTTCTTGTAGCTGCAGGACTGAGGTCCTCAGCCTTTCTTAAGGCTGTGAAAACCATTCCATACAACGTAGTTTTTCAACAAGATGGTATTTGGCTTCTTTCAGAATATTTCAGCTGCTCTGAATCTGATTTCAGTAAGGGCCCATTTTCTTTTAAAGCCTCATCTGATTAGGTCAGACCCACCCATTTTGATTAGTTCAAGGTCAACTGATTTGGGACCTCTATAGTATCTGTAAAATCCTTTGTTTGTTATATAAAATGCCATAATCATAGGAGTGAAATCCACCTAATTCCCTGACATTCAAGGTGAGAAGATTATACAGAATATACACAACAGGGGGTAGGTCTCTTGAAGCCATCTCAGAATTCTGCCTACCACATGGAGAATTAATCCTGATGAAACTAATACTGTCAGACTAATCTTTATCTGATACTCACTATCTGACTTTCTCTTAAAATATCCTTCAACTGTTCTACAAAACACAAAAAAAGAAGTCTAAATTCATTAATCTGATATTCAAGCCCTTTCTCAATTTTTCCTTAGGTGACAGTAAAGCTCAACTCCCACAGGTCCCCCATCAATAAGCCCTCAGTCACCGTCCCTTTGCTCTGGCCATCCCATGCCCCTATGTCCTCTGTGTCTGCATTCCTTCATGCATTTTTCCTCCAAACCTAAGTTGCTCTTTCACTCCTTATTTAAAACTGACCCAGCCTTCTAGATATTGCATTGGTCCTCCCATAAAACCTTTTCTGATTCTTTGGACTCACACTGACCTTTTCTTCATTTGCATTTGTCCTGAATCACTATGGTAGATTGCCAAAATGATCATAACTTCCCATCCCCGAGTGTGTACCCTTTTTCAATGCAATTTTACTGCTCAGCCCAAAAGATGAACTGGATTTCTCTAGTCCTGACTCTGAGCTGGGCCCTGTGATATTGGCAAATATGATACAAGAAGACACTATAAGGCACTTATGTGCTTGGGCTTGTTCTCTTGCTATCTTGGGAACCTTGCTACTACCACTAGGTGAGAGGCCAGACTAGCCTCCCAGATGATGAAAGGCATGAAGAAAGTCATCCTTGTGGCCTCAACTGACACTCTGCCAACCATTTGCCACATGAAAAATAACAAATGTTATTTTACTACAAGTTATACAGCTTTGTACCAACTTTTGTAGCAAATTATTTACTAAGAATAGAAATTCAAGGTCATCCTTTTAGTAACATTTATTTTACTTGGTTTCATTCTAGTATGCTTTCTTGTGAAAGAGTTGATTATAGCTTGTGATGGAGAAATTGTACACGAACTACAGTCTGGTTTTTAATATCTGGAAGCATCTTTTGGAGGGTGTCATGAAACTTCAAAAAAAAAAAAACAAAACCCAAACTTGAAATTTAAGGTTTAAATAACCCAAATGTCCACTGAAAGATGAATGGACAATGAAGTGTGGTATATCCATAYAAGAGAATACTGTTCAATCATAAAAAAGGAATGAGGGTCTGATATATGTTACAACATGAATAAATCTTGAAGACATTATGCTAACTGAAATTAGCTAGAYATAAAAAGGTTAAATATTATATGATTCCACTTATAATTAGTACTTAGAATAGGAAAATTCATAGAGCAGTAGATTAGCACTTGCCAGTAACTAGAGTATAACTAACACCACCAAATTATGTATTTAAAGATGACAAGTTTTGTTTTTTTGTGATACTGGGTATAACCCAGTACCTTGGGTATGCTAGGCAAGAACCTTACCACATCCCTAAAGATGGCAAGCTTTATGTTACATATACTTTATTGTAACATTTTAAATTAATTGCCTTAAACTGTACACTCAAAATGTGTGACTTGAATAGCATGTGAACTATACCTCAATAACACTGTTTTATAAAAATTAAAAATACAAGCAAAAAACCCAAAACAACACTTGGTTTCAATTTTCTTTTTAGATGTGAACTATCCAAAAATATTACACATCCCTTTTCACCTTTGCTGCTAGAAAACTCAAGACCAAGTTCAAGCATAGTAACTTGGATGGTACATAGATGTGCTAAACCATAATAGCTATCATCATTTTTCTTATCACTGTCACCATATCAGAGGTTCCAAATTCCTGTTTATATCCTCTTTTTTGGGGTGGGGGGTGGTACCAGGGATTGAACTCAGGGGCACTCAAGTAGTGAGCCACATCTCCAGACCTATTTTGCATTTTATTTAGAGACAGGGTCTCACTGAGTTGCTTAGCACCTCACTGTTGCTGAGGCTGGCTTTGAATTTGCGATCCTCCTGTCTCAGCTTCCTGAGACACTAGGATTCAGGCATGAACTGCCATGCCCAGCCTACATCCTCTTGGTGTGTTTTTCTTTGTACCATTTCTTCATCTTTGTTTACTAAAATTAATTCACATGATTTTTATCCAGGCCCCTGACAGACTCTAAAGTAAACTGAGATCCTAAACTTCTGTGATTATGGTATTAACACCGTAAATACAATGCTATAATCCCAGACTAATAACTCTCAGAGCAAGGAAAATAAGAGATCATGCTAAAAAATAAATTAAGAGAATAGGTGCCGGGGTTGTGGCTCAGTGATAGAGTGCTTGCCTAGCATGTGTGAGGCACTGGGTTCGATCACTGGCACCACATAAAAATAAACAAATAAAGGTATCGTGTCCATCTACAACTAATATACACACACACACACACACACACACACACACGTATATATACATATATTTTTTTTTTAAGAGAAAGAATATATGTCTTTAAAAGCAGTGGGGAACAAGTGAGCCAGCATTATTTAAAAACCACTTTCAACCTATTTCTGGGGAATGCTTTACCACAAAAAATCAATAGTCTCAAATTTGGTAAGAGTGACACACCAATTATTGACTGACCTTTTCATTCTGCAGGGCATCTTATTTATCTAAGTATTCAAAAATTCACCAAATGCCAATTTTTCTGATAAATATTTGAAAACTACATCCAAAAATTCAAAGAAGCTTGGATTTAAGGTCATAGAAAAAGGTCATTCGTGCAGGAGAATGGGAGATAGAATATTCTTGACATTTAGAGAAATGTTAAACAGTAATTCCACATATTTACACAACTATTTTTTTAATTTCAGAAAACCACCAATTCTTGGGTAAATATGGTAGTCCCTTAATTAGCCTACCAATGTACTAACTTATCCAATAATAAGCCTACAAACACAAAAATGCAAAACTTTTCCAAAAATAAGCCTACAAACACAAAATGCAAAACAGATCATTTCTACCTCTAGGAACAAAGTTTCTGGTGTAAAAATGTGTGAAGTAATACTTCTTTGATGAGATATATTATTGCTAGAAAAAAAATCCATTTGGCTTGGTTCTCCAATGAATCAAATTTACCAATGGCAGAAACCATAGTAACATGTATTTTGAACTTACATATACTCTTAATAAATATATCCTGAACATCTGAGTCAGACTATCAATTAAACTTTTTGTTGTAAGTGTATACTGAATAATAAGAGGCAATTTTTTTAAAGTGGTACTGGAAATTAAACCCAGGGGTGTTCTACCACTGAGTTACATCCCCAGCCCTTTTATTTATTTATATATTTATTTATTTCTCAGGCAGGTAGTATCTTACTAAGTTGCCTAGACTGGTCTCAAATTTGGATCCTCCTGCCTCAGTCTTCTGAGTAGCTGGGATTATAGGCATGTGCTCCTGTATCCAGCAAGAGGCAATGTATTAAAAAACATAAGGGTGCTCTGAAACAGAACATATGCCCTCATATAAAAGAATTCTTACTCAGTTTTCCACTGTTGTCAGGATGATTGAGGTGAAAAGTGACCAGCATCACAGCGTAACTGAAAGGTCTGAGGGTGGCGTGGGGGGATTGGAAGGCAAGCTGTATAGAGTGTTCTGCCCCATTTGTAATACGTAACACTACTATGTGATACATGTACAAGGTGAGATTTATCTTAGGTTTACTTAGGTTCCTTCTCCACCTAAAAGAGATTTGATTCTATTGATGCTAATTTTTTTTTAATCACAGAATCAGTTTTCAACACAGTAGATAGAAAACTTGGATGAAATAAATCAACAGTATAAAGTATACATTAGTCTTTATGAGTTCAATATTGTAAGTGCACAAAATATATAACATTGTGTTCCTGTCTTACATTAGAGACTCCAATAGCTAGATATTTATATTCCTAAGAGGAAATGTGACTTAGAATGACATGACAAAACCTTACTAGCTTATTTAATCATATGATAAAAAATGACAAGTATATGAGGATAAAGTAATTAATTTAGTCTCTAAATCTTTAAAACTTTTAGTTTCTAAAGCTGAATACCTAGTAAGTTTACCCATTTGTCACTTTTTATCATAACAAAACTTCAAAATGGATTTATTTTTAAAAGGCCTGAAGATAGAAAGTGGGTAAAATAACTTATGCACTAACCAGGGATTGTTTGGATATAATTATAAATTGCCAATCACCACAATTAAATGATACTTAGACTTTTAATAGTTATTTTGTTAAAAAAAGGAAAGAAGAAAGAAAATCAGATATTATCTAACGAACTAATTATGAAACTTAAGACATTTACACATTTGTGGCTGAGTATTCAACAAAACATTCCCAGTGGAATGGTCTCTAAAAATATCTATAATTAATACAGAACAGTTTTTTTAAAAAAGGCTTACTGTCTCGGTGAGTTAGCAGAGAATTCCTCTTCTGAATCAGGAAAGCTTAGGGTTTGCCAAACACGATTATTTTTTTCAGTGGAGAGGGCATCTCTTTCTTGCTCAGGGTGGATTAATTTTAAAGCCTCTGTTCCATTTTCTCCCTCTATCTTGTCACTTGGATTTGGTTGTGGTTCTGGACTCTTTAAAATCAGATCATCTTCACTTATAGAGACTGTGAGGTCATTGCTACTGCATAAACTTTCCTTCTCCTGTTCTTCCTGCATTTTTTGTAACTGTGGGTCCCCATGGGCAAGATGATCTATAAAAGGGGATATGAACAGATTATTGATCAAGAACTTCCTGGAGAATCAAGGTAACGTGGAACAGAATTATCCATCAGTTAAAAACATGCAGAGGGCTGGGGATGTGGCTCAAGCGGTAGCGCGCTCGCCTGGCATGCATGCGGCCCGGGTTTGATCCTCAGCACCACATACAAACAAAGATGTTGTGTCCGCTGAAAACTAAAAAATAAATATCAAAAAATTCTCTCTCTCTTTAAAAAAAAATATTTCTAAAAATATGCAGAAAAACCAACAACTAATGATAGTATTTAAAAACCCAAAAATATTTTTATCTTATTTTTTATTTTATTTAAAAATTTGTTATTTTTGTGCTGGGTTTGAGCAAATCCAGGGCCTCATGTATGCTAAACATGTGCTCTACCAATGAGCTACACCCTCTACCCTCAACAAATACTTTAAAATATTTTTTAAAAATCATAGTGAATTTAAATTATCAGGTAAACTAATTGTAAAATACCATTTACATGTACACATTTATGAATTCATTAAAATGGAATTCATTCACATAATAATCACTATTTGGGTTTCTGGCAAAGAAAAAAAATAGAGTATATTTTATCCTTATGTAAGATCACTAACACCCAGAAAAATGAAACACTAACAAAAATCTGCAAACTCAAGTCAGCCTCTCACCCCACCTGAGAAACCTTCCCAAGCAGAATGCTTCTCTTGAGACCACTTATTTTCAGATGCACAGTGTTCTGAAACTGATATCGCAGAGACAGGCGGGCTGGCTCTTTCTTCCTCAACTTCAATATGTTCTCGTGTCAGTATTTCTCCCTCTGATCCCTCTGATCKGCTGGAACTGTCACACTTTAAATCAGTGGTCCTGTTCTCTGGACTTAATCTTTTCTGTAAAGAGGAATGAAGTTCAGCAGACTTTTTGCCTTCTGATAAATTACCATTGCTATGATGTATGTTGCTTCCTATCTCCAAGCAATGAGTTTGTTCCTCCTCAGACAATACACTGGCTGTGACTGGCGTTTTCTCACCAATCTGAAGAGATGTCTTTCCATCTATTCTGTCAGACTTATTTAAGCACTCTGTGTCACTATTAGTTTGTACTACACAGCTGTCTGTCACATTGCTTTTCTGGCCTGTCTGTTGGTGTGAATGTGGGTCAGGAATTGAAAAGTTCTTTGTGGGTTGGGGAGATTTCTGCTCTATACTGAAAGCTCCAAGGCTTGAGACGGCTGACATTTGGCGGCCCATAAACATTGTTGCTGGTTGATACAATCCTTTTGACACAGTTGTCCCCAAGTTAATTCTTGCTTGCACTGCAACCTGCAATGAGATGTGAGTTAAACATTATGTGTAACCATCAGGGTTTTTTTTTTTTTTTTCAATCAGATTGTTTTTAAAAATGAAAGAACCATGACCATGGAAATYAGCACTTACCATAATTTATAAAACTTGTTCCTCCCCATGTAATGATGAACAAAAACAGTACAGTCCATGCTATTTAATTTTAATAATAATGTGATCCACAAAGCAACTAATGCCAAGAAACTATGAAATTTTTTTGAAAAAAAGAGAAATGTATGTACTTAATATAATTAAACTGCATGCTTAAAATTAAATTAAAAAGGTAAATTTTATGATATGTACAGATTTTACAACTAAAAAAAAAAAAAACAAAAGAAGCTATGAGTTTTAAAAGCACTCCATGGAGAAGCTCAGATTCAATGGAGCTATTTGATCAAAGTAATTTGACCAAAGGAAAAAAACGGTATGGGAATGGGTATACAAAAAACTATTGGAGGTTTCAAAGTTCTATTTCTAGTATTATAAGTAATATAAAAATTTCTTGGGCTGGGGATGTGGCTCAAGCGGTAATGCGCTCGCCTGGCATGCACAGGGCGCTGGGTTCGATCCTCAGCACCACATAAAAATAAAATAAAGATGTTGTGTCCACCAAAAACTGAAAAATAAATATTAAAAAACTCTCTCTCTCTCTCTCTCTCTCTCTCTCTCTCTCTCTTCTCTCTTCTCTCTCTAAAAAAATTCTAATTGGGCTGGGGATGTGGCTCAAGCGGTAGCGCGCTCGTCTGGCATGCGTGCGGCCCGGGTTCGATCCTCAGCACCACATACAAAGATGTTGTGCCCGCCAAAAATTTAAAAATAAATATTAAAAAAAATTCTCTCTCTCTCTCTCTCACTCTCTCTTTAAAAAAAAATTCTAATAATAGCCTTAAGGATAGAATTAAAATATATTGGATCATGTACAAAATATTCATAATTTATAGTCCAACTGTAAACAATATCTACTTTTCCTGACCATCTTCAAGTAATTTTACAGAAATTTCAAGCAATTTCCACTTATTGGCATGTGTATAGGAAGAATGAGCATAATCTCTTACAGAGATATATAGAGAGAGAGCAAAGAGACACTGAAGCAACTAGTTTGTTGGCTTCATCAAGGATGCATAGAGGGAAAAGGAACTAGAGGTAACAAGCATGAAGACTTCAGAAAGTTAAGTGCTTTTCTTCAAAAGGAACCAAAATACTTCCACACATATAAGAACATTTATTTCACAGAGATAAATAGAGTATATAGGGAGATGTATTTGCACCCCTCTGCAGATGAAAAAACCAAGGGTCAACTATTAAGAGAGAAAATGTCGTACACACAGCTGAAACAATCCAGATCTTGCTTCTCTTCAAATACACTGTCTTTTCTATGCAAAAGTAAAAGAAATAACTTTGATGTGAACCAACCAATGACAGGGATATCAGAGAAAGTGGTAGAATCAGGACCTCTAAAATTTCTCTGCTCCACAAAAGAGATGATAATACTGGGAAAAATTTTTCAGAATGACTTTTCAGAACTCTGGAAATTAACCAGGCTTGCAACAACCTGGGGGTGCATTTAAGAAAAACAGCTGTATCTTGATAATAACAGAGAGCTTTATGGTATGTTAACTTATCTTATTCCCATTCCTTCCCAGAGGTCTGCAGTAAACTTCAAAACTTGTACTCACAATGAAAACCAGCAGCAACGTTAGAGAAGATTATGCTAAGTGAAGATAGCCAATCCCCAAAAAACAAATGCCAAACGTTTTCTCTGATATAAGGAGGGTGTCTCAAAGTGGGGTAGGGAGGGAGAGCATGGGAGGAAGATTATTTCTAGATAGGGAAGAAGGGTGGGAGGGAAAGGGACGGGGGGAAAGRGATTAGCAAGGATGGTGGAATATGAAGGTCAACATTATACAAAATACATGTATGAAGATTTGAATTTGGTGTCAACATACCTTATATACAAACAGAGATATGAAAAATTGTAGTATATATGTGTATTAAGAATTATAATGCCAAAAAAAGAGTWCATGTATAATGGCATAATTTGGTGTGAACATACTTTATATACAAAGTTACAAAAAATTGTGCTGTATATGGGTAATAATGAGTGTAATGCATTCCACTATTGTCATGTATTTTTTAAAAAAATTAAAGGAAAAGCCAGTGAAAGAGCTGCCTTGTGGAGGGTCTGAAAAGCTCCAACCTATTTCTGGGAATCTAGATGGCTACCTACATGCTCAGGGATGTGTTTATGCTCAGGAAACATTTCAAGAAGTTCCTAAACTTTCACCTCTGGCTTGCCTTGAAGCACTGTACAAGCAGGAAGTAAAGACTAAGGTAGGGCTGCAAACTACCTGGATGAGTGTACAAAATATGCCCCAACACACATCAGGGCCTGTTGGCAAAGACTATGAGAATTCTAGTTCCAAGTATTAAAGAAAGCTCTGTCTAGTCATTACCTGCCCTCACTAAGTAAACTAAACAGAAACGTCAGTGAACAGACGTGAAAAATAATACAGATTTTACATATTAGTTCAGAAAGTCACTTAAACAAAAAACACAAAAACAATTCTGGGAAGGGGAGAATTGTCACATTTTATTGTTTAAAATGTTTGTTTCAATAAAAAAGCAGAAAAAATGAAAAGAAATAAGAAACTACGGGTCTTACATGGAGAAAAAAAAAAGCAGTCATTAGAAACCATTCCTCAGGAAGCCTAAGTATGGTATTAAACTTACTAAAGGCATTAAAAGTTATATTAGATATGTTCAAGGAACTAAAGGAAATCAGGTCTAAATAACTAACATAAAGTATGAAAATAATGTACAAATAGAGATTATCAATAAAGAAATATCAATAGGTCCTGAGGGTAGTACAGTGTTAAAGGTTCTTGCCTAGTATACACAAGACCTAGGTTCCATCTCCAGCATCCCACACAAATACACAAAAAAATTAATACAAGAAATCTAAGTTATAAAAAATAGAAATGAATATAAATGTGGAATTTATGCAGTTAAAAAGTACAATTGCCAAAATGAAAAATTAACTACAGGGCCTCAGCAGCAGATTTGACTAGACAGAGAAAGAATCAGCAATATTGAATTTCTCTGGTCTGAGGAAAAGAAAGAGAAATGAATAGAAAACAAAGAAAAATGAATAGAGCCTCAAGAGACCTGTGAGACACATAAGCATACAATTAAAAGTCTCAGAAAGAAAAGGAAAGAAAGAGTTCTGAAAAAATAATGAAAGAAAACTTTCTAAATTAGATTAAAAATAAGCTACACATGAAAGAAGCTAAATAGAGTCAAAGTGTGAGAAACCCATAAAGACTCACATCTAGACACATCATAATCGAATGACTAAAAGACAAAGAATCTTTTGGTGTATATATGATGCTGATGATGCAACCCAGAGCCTTGTATGTGCTAGAAAAGTGCTCTATTACTGAGCTATACCCAACCCTCAAAGAGAGAATCTTGGAAGCAAATATAGAGAAGTGATGCTGTCACATCCAAGGATTCCTCAATAAGGACAAAAGCTGATTTCTCATTAGAAACTATGGAGGACCGGGTGGGTGCAGTGGTGCATGCCTGTAAACCCAGAAGCTTGGGAGGCTGAGATAGGAGGGTTGTGAGTTCAAAGCCAGCCTCAGCAATGGCGAGGAGCTAAACAACTCAGTGAGACTTTGTCTCTAAATAAAATACAAAATAGGGCTGGGGGATGTGGCTCAGTGGTTGAATGCCCCTGAGTTCAATCCCCAGTAACACCCACCCCCAAAAAAGAAACCATGGAGGTCAGCTGGCACATTCAAAGTACTGAAAGTAAAAGACTGTCAATCAAGAATTCTATACCGGCCAACACTTTCCTTCAAAACTGAAGGAAAAATTAAGGTAGTCCTAGATAAACAAAGACAGACTCTGTTACTACCATACCTGCCCAAGGAAATACTACAAAAACACTTCAGGCTGAAATAAAAGAACACTCAAGAGTAACTCAAATCTACATTAAGAAATAAAGAATACTAGTAAAGAAACTGGTAAATACAAAAGGTGATGAGATATACATATATTTTGTTGTTGTTTTACAACTTTTTTCTCCTATATAAAGACATCTTTGTAAAACAATAATTATAAATCTGTATTAATATCCAACATATAAGGGGCTGGGTTGTAACTCTGTGGTAGTGCACTTGCCTAGCACGGGTGGGGCACTGGGTTCAATTCTCAGCACCACATATAAATAAATAAATAATAAATGTCCATCAACGACTAAAAACAATTTTTTAAAAATATGTAACATGTAAGATACAAAGCTATAGCTTGTATTATAATAATATGACAAAGAAGTAAAGACAGAATGGAGTTATATAGATACAAAGTTTTTACATGCTCGTGAAATTAAGTTGTTATTAATACAAACTAGATTATTATAAATGTTGTCTTAGTCCATTTTCTACTGCAATAACAAAATACCTAAGGCTGTCTACTTTATAAAGAAAAGAGTTTTATTTATACCAAAGTTCTGGAAACTCAAGAGAATGGTGTTACCATATGATTGGCTCTTGTGAAGATGGCTACATTACATGGTAAATGGCATCACTATGAAAGCATATGTAAGGGGCAGAAATCACATGGTGAGTCAGGAAATATTCACAAGTCATGCTTGCTTTTATAAATAACTATTCTTACAGAAATTAACCAGGGTTCAACAACAATGACAATCTTTTCCAGGGGCAGCCCCCTCTAACTTTCCACTAACCTAGCTTTCCACTAGGTCCCACCTCTTAAAGGTTTCATCACTTAAATACCACAATGCTAAAGACCAACCTTCTAGCAAATGAACTTTTGGGAAACACACTCAAATATATCCAAACTATAAAAGATGGTAACTGAAATACCAGGGCACTAATAGGAAAATAAATGACAAGAAAATTAAAATGGTGCATTAGAATATTCTGTTTAACACAAAAGGAAGTAGTGTTGGAGAA